CAGCCAGTCGCCTGTTGCCATTGCCCGGGGCATGGCGGGCTGCTGGTTTGCTCCTTTCCAGCCCCTTGATGCTCCAGTTCTGAGCCCCAAAAGGGCCTGTGCTGGCTCCCTGCCAGCTCCCTGTCCCTGGCTGGTGCCCGCCCCAGGGCCCAGGAAAGGGCGGGTGAAGAATCACTTCCCTGCACCCAGGGAGTCTCCATTTCAGTCAGGTGCGCTTTCCCCTCCCCCGGCCCCATGGCGAGCTGGGCTGGGGTCTGGGTCTGGATCCGGCTCGGGGCAGACCTCTGCCCTGCCCCGGCCCCAGGCTCTGGAGTAGGTGGCGGCTCTGAATCCTTCAAGCCCGTTTTCAGTCCCGAGAGGAGCTTAGCAAAGCTCAACCCCTGCGGTGCCCTAGGGGCTCTTCCCCGTGCCCGGCAGCCCCCCCGCCCAGGCGCCCCAGCCGAGGCATCGTCCCAGCTGCCACGGGGCCTTTGCTTTCTGCAGACCTGCCGAGGCACCGCCAGGGAGCTCATCTCTCTCCCTCCCCACAGCTGGCGTCCGTGAGCCTCCTGCATCTGGGCCAAGAGACCGACAAGCTCCGGGCCAAGAACCGGGAATCCATCTCCCTGCTGATGCACCTGGTGAGGCTCCTGCATGCTGGGGTGGGCAATGGGCAGGTGCCCCCGGAGACACTCGGACGCTGAGACACCCACGTGCTCTGGGCCGGGGGCTGGGCAGGATTTTGGCCATGCGGGGCTGAGCTGTGCTCAGCTGGGAGGCGAGGCTGGACTCCCCTGTCACTCCACAGGGATAAAAGCAGTCAGAGGAGCAGAAACAGGCTCCCGGCCGCATTGGGTGGGGCTCAGCCTGGTTCCAGCAGCCCCTGCTTTCTGTGCCTCAGTGGGCTGAGCAGGGCCAGCTGATTCAGGCCAGTTCTTATGCCCAGCCTGCTGCAGGGCTGTTGCTTCTCAGGCAGCAGCATCACCAGGCCACTGCTCTCTCGTCTGCCCCTCCTGGGGACCAAGGCCTTGTCTTTGGGGCAAGATTGCGGCCCCACAGATGGACAGAGCCCCTTTCTCCAGCCCCTAGGTGGAGAGGCGGGCACTCGGTAGCCCCTTGTGCTGGGGGATTGAACCCCCAGCACCACACGCACTGCCTGGGGAAAGCTGCTGTAGTCCCTGGGGCCAGCACCCTTGGGTGTTGTGCCCATGCCCCTCTGTCAGTGCATGCCCCAGTCACCCTGCCGGGCCAGGGTTTCCCTGAGCATTAGGAGAGGAGGCAGCAGGCAGGCTGCACCCAGGGCAGAGTCCAGCAGATGCCAGGCCACGGTACTGCCCCCCTTACTTCTGCGCTGCTGCCTGCAGAGCTGGGCGCTTGGTCAGCAGCTGCTGCTCTCTGGCCACCCAGCTCTGAAGGCAGCAGCGTGGAGGGAAAGTCACCCTGCCGGGCCAGGGTTTCCCTGAGCATTAGGAGAGGAGGCAGCAGGCAGGCTGCACCCAGGGCAGAGTCCAGCAGATGCCAGGCCACGGTACTGCCCCCCTTACTTCTGCGCTGCTGCCTGCAGAGCTGGGCGCTTGGTCAGCAGCTGCTGCTCTCTGGCCACCCAGCTCTGAAGGCAGCAGCGTGGAGGGAAGTCATGAAGAAATGAGGATAGCCGTACCACAACCCCTCCATAATAACCTTCTGAACCTTCCTCCACCTCCTTTGGTCAGGACCCCCACAATTACAACACTGTGAAACTTCAAATTTAAATATCTGAAATAATGAAATTTATTATTTTAATATCAAATTGACCAAAATAGACTGTGAATTTGGTAGGGCCTTACTTATGTGGTACTGATGTCATTGTTGCATGTCACTTATAGTACTTACAGGAGACAAATGTTTCCTGTTGGCTAACCAATGTATCCTACTTTAAATCAGTGTCTCGACTCAAAATTTTTTAAATATAAAACCCTTTCAGTCTACAAGTAGGTGTATTTGAGTAATTACTTTCTTGTGGGTTTCCAAAAAGACCTATAGAAAGTATTTCTGCTATAAATTATCATTTCATGGGCCGTGACATTTTTCCTGGCTGTACATTTGGTAGGTACAGCTGCTGCCTCTGGCCTTGTGCTGTGAGAGCTGGGGTGGGGGGCTGGCTCTGGAAGGGGGGGACCATTGGCCCTTACTTGGATTTACCCTCGGTGGGGAGCTGTCAGCAGCTCTGGGCTTCAGTCCCCGGCAGCCCAGGAGCAACCTGCCTGCTTAGTGCAGCCCCCTGTGCTGTGTGGGGCGGGGGCTGCAGGCAGGATGGGGGGGGTCTCAGAGGGCAGCTGCCACCCCTGGAGCTGCCCTGTTGGCACCCCTGTGGGCCCCAGAGTAGCCCCTTGCACCGGCCCCGTGCAGGCTGGGCAGCCAGCTATCTGTCTCCATTAGCACCGGAAAGATATTGATTCCTGCCCTGATGGGAGGAGACGGTTGTGCCTGGGGAAGGCGAGGGCTCCCCATCCGCTCCCTGGACAGGCCTGCGCTGCCCGTGATTGGTATTCGGGGAGCGCGGGTGTTTGCAGCAAAGCAATTTAAATGCAAATGTTTCAATCTGGAATGTGTGAATGAGGCTGCCCGGGCCCATTGTCCCCCTCTGGGGGGAGCGCTCTGGTCTGGTGCGTGGGCTCTGTACCTATCCTGGCTCCTGAGCCAAACCCAGGGGCATCGGGCGCCTGGACGGGCAAGCACAGAGCCTGGCAGGGGCTGCAGCTGGGTGAAGGTGAAGCTCCACAGCTGGGTTAGGGGATGCCCACGCAGGGGTCTCAGAGTTGACTGGGGGTGGCTGGGCTGCCCCATAAGCCCTGGGTGGGGAGCAGGGACAGCAGAGGCAGACCCAGACCCTGGGCAGCAGTCACAGCCGAAGACATACGGAGCTTCCCGTTTGGGTCAGCAGCTTCCAGCTCCACAGAATCCCAGGGCTGGAGGAGACCTCAGGAGGCATCGAGTCCGGCCCCCTGCCCAAGGCAGGACCAACCCCAACTCAATCAACCCAGCCAGGGCTTAAACACCTCTGGGGATGGAGATTCCACCCCCTCCCCAGGGAACCCCCAGTCACAGCCGAAGACATACGGAGCTTCCCGTTTGGGTCAGCAGCTTCCAGCTCCACAGAATCCCAGGGCTGGAGGAGACCTCAGGAGGCATCGAGTCCGGCCCCCTGCCCAAGGCAGGACCAACCCCAACTCAATCAACCCAGCCAGGGCTTAAACACCTCTGGGGATGGAGATTCCACCCCCTCCCCAGGGAACCCCTCCCAG